GTGGGGAGGAAGAGACAGCCCTCCAGCGTGGCTGCTCAGACCTGTGCAATACGGAGGGATGGCACCCAGCTTACTAATTTTATCTAATGGCAAAGGATGCTTTTCTTTAAGGCTGAAAACCAGAGCTGCTATCTACTGGGAAACTACCCTTCCCCAATTTAGCATCTTCAAATGGTACCTGAAATACCGCTGTCCAGGCTGTCAGGCAGCTGGTCCCTGTGTGTTCTGTTACTTGGTCTCTGACTTTCTGAGTGTTTTTCAGAAGTTGTTTATTTTCTATTTTTTATCTTGAAATCCCTGAACAGGCCAATACCTGTCTGCCACAGAGCTTTGTTCTTCTACTTGTGCTGTCCCAGTGAAGGAGACTGGCTGGAGATCCTTCATATGCTGGGGTAAGGTCCTTGCTGTTTTGGAATATCCTTCAACATGAGACAAAAACAGATATACCATGTCTAGCAAGTGGTACTGGGCTGCTCTGCAGGCCAAAGGACAGACTGTGGGCTGTCAGTGCTATACAGGAAAGGACTTGAGATGAACCAGCAACATAATGTTTTCAGTAACCTGCGTCCCCCCACCCGGGGCAGGGGGTAATATGCAGGACCCGCATGACGAGAACATCAATGGGACGTTGTAGCTATATGGCCTGCTTACAAATGAAATGTGCCTGAACAATTATAAAGGAGCCATTACAATTCTGTTGTCCCATGCTACCTGCTCTCTCTCTGAGTCACATCTTTATCTCAGTTTGACTTTCTGTAGAGCTGGGATACATTAGCATAATCATTCTTGCATCCTCTGATGTTCAAATTTTCTTCTTAGTCTCCTGCAGTCTTGGTCCAAAAAGCTTTTAATATTTCTACCAGAAATCAAGATTTTTATGTAAGCAGCAGTGAGGGATTTAGTTTGTGTGTATAAATATACAATAGTCTCACTATTCTGGCTGCTAGTGCAAAGTGAATCCATGATACGGGTTATATTCTCTTAGCTAAAGGCAAAGGCATATGTTAACTAACAATGAATTACCCTATTGTAGAGCCTACAGGATGGGGATTATTGCTGCCAACACACTGTCTTATCCTGCAGTACACAGAGAAAACTTCTGTTAGCAGATTTGGAATGCAGGCAAGCGATAATGTGTAAATTCATTAGGTGGCACCTCAAAGCCCAAAGTGCATGTGTGTGGGCTATCACATCCATTTCAATAGGAATTTTGCCTGCAGGAGAAGTACACCCATGCAGCAAATGCTGTTAGATTATTTTAGTAGACCAAAAAATCTAAGGGGATTCAGGATTGGCAAGCAGCCACCTTAAAGACACCTCACTGCATAGTACATACCTTGATTCAAACCCAGAGTACATAAACGCTGGCCTATCCAGTGACAAGAGTATAAAGAGTGTGATGTAGAAAAAAAGGGACAGAATAGGGACAAAACTGCAGTTTCATCTGACAAAGCAAATCTCTTCACGAGACTGTAGTCTTAAAAAGTCTGGAAGAATTGAAATATTTCACCATCCTGGGGTGTAGGTACCAAAATTAATCCTATTTAGTACATTAGATCTTTACCTAAACCTCTTTGTACAGAAGATGGAAGGCTTGGCCCTCAGAGCAGGATTTCCCAGATGCCTCAGCTGGTTTCGCAGTTCTTGTTACTGGAACATGTTAAAAACTCCCTGATTTTACAAATCAAACACTTGTAGACATAAGTTATCCCTCAAGAATATCTGTGGGTAAGTTGCTGAAGAACTAGGGCAATAAAGCACCATGCTGCTCTTGCCTTATTTGCTCCAGTACAATCCTGCTTTCAGTGCTCAGAAGGGATGTACGGATTAGTCTCTTCTACTAGGCAACCCTTCTTAATGTACCCACTATTTAGTACTATCTAGCTTACCTTTGCACACTTTGGAGGCCTGATCTGACTAAAAGACAGTGAGATGAGGAGGTCTTCAGTGAATGAAATGAGTGAGTTGTGGCTGAAGTCTGGCCAATCCCATCTTACTCACAAAACACTTCTATTTCTGGCTCTGATGTGCTACTTGGGGGGTGGGAAGCCACAGAAACTGGTTTGTGTTGTGATGCAGAGGAACTTGCTCGCAGAAATTCTGTCTTAAAGAACAAATAGAAAAACACTGTTTCTAAGGAATAAGCTGAATGAGACTGCCCAGAAACAAAAGACATGCAACTTCTTCTAACTGATCATAATATTTAAAAAAGAATGCCCTGAAGAGCAATACTCCTGATTTGCTCCTTCCTTCCGTGCTACTGGTTTTATCATAATCAATCAAGAGAAACATTTTTACATCTTACATCACCATTTTTTCTGTTGAGGCCATTACCTTTTGTAATGGTAAGATCAAAGAAATAAAATTTTGCTTCCAAAAATAAATCACTGATATATGTACCAGTCTCATAAATCAGCATGCTAAAAAAATGTACACTGTGTGCTGTATGTGCTTACTTTCAATGTCCTTGGCATTGCTTAAGAGCTTGAAAAAAAAAAATCACAAACATGGCATTCTTTGCATGACATCTTGCAAAGATCCCCTAGAAAAGCACCAACTTTCTACCTCTATCAATTAAAGCACCTATATTCAGGGAGGTAGTTGCTGAGAGTCCACTTACAGGTAATGAGAGATTCTGTAAAATAGTTGACAATTAAGGCAGAGAGAAAGCAGGGAAAATAGTGTCTGTACAAAGTTCAGAGCATACTGAAAACTTTACAGAGTTCCTGCTGTTTACCTGCATTTTTCCTCCCCATGTCTGTCACGATTAATTAGTTTCCTGTCTCTTGGGTAATATTGTGGTAATTAAATACCAGAAACCATGGGGAAAAGTGGCAAGAGATTTTTTTGCTCTGCAGTTTAACAGTAAGTGACAAGTGCCAACCTTCCACCATCATATACAAACACTGTAGGATTTTCTTGTGATGTTCCCAACCGTAAATCCTAATATGCCATGCAAGTACCAGTTCAGTAAAATTCAATGAATGATACCACAACGGAACGCTTACAAGCAGCACTAAAAAGGGAAACACCTAATGCAAAATTTAGGAAGCTTCTTCAAAGAGCTGGGAGACAATTTGTAACTAAACAGTTTTATTGACTCCTTTTTGCAAAATAAAAAACACAAAATAACCACCAAGATTAAAGGCCATAGACAGCATTAACCAAATGAACCAGCCACTTGGTTATAGTAGCTGATAACTAGCACAACTGGATATTATTGCATATACCTCAGGTTCATTTATATATCCATTACAGTTTGGCAAGATTACAATCATACAGTAGCTTTGGTTGTGTAAAACCTAGTAGCAATACTTACTTAAAATGTGACTGGTTAACATTTTATGACAACAGGTATTTATCTCATCTTAGTCTTGACACGTCTTCTGTTGTTCATTCTTCTCCTCCACAAGGTATGTTATTACTGACCAAGAATTAAGGAGATGTATTTGCAACCATCATTTATAGCCCTTCTTTATCACCGTACGGTGATGAATCTTATAGGGGTAGGAATCTGTCACTTGCTTTCCTTATAAAAGTTTGTAGAGCAGCATCTCTTTCCATGCTGGGTGGCTTCTACCATCCTGTGGTAGCATCTGCCGAGAATGAGTCCATTCAGAATGCAAATATGTAGAGGTGTATATGGCTTTCAGTCCAAAGCCTTTCCTGACCTACAGTACTGGGGTTTGATTGTACTGCCTTGCCTTTGAATACAGAAAAAAACACAAACAAACATTTTCACATTGGTATGCTGAGCTGCCAGCACAGAACAGTATTAACAAACCTAATACACAATACTACCTTGGTTACAGAATTGTGCCTGAGACACTGTACAGGATTGCATGTGTATGCTCTACAGTCTACGGATTTTAGTTTTGGTCTTTTAAAAAATGCTTTCATCCTTACGTAATCTAGTGTAACACTGCATCTTTAGAGTAATGGTTGATAAAAAGTCAAACACACAGGCTATTTGAAAACACTGGGGGCTTTTTTTGTCTTCTTGCACCATTTGTGCAGAACTGCCTTTCTGCCATCATTTTGCCCCCAGCTTTCTGGGAATACCCACTTCCAGGGGAAACATACAATCTACTTAAAAATAATCTAGCATTTTGACTTCTACCTGGGAAAAGCTATAAGCCAATTTGGATCAAACTGAAGTGATCTTGTGTGTGAAGACCCTTCTTCATTTACAAAATGCTGTAACACTAGATAACTCCTGCTTGGTTTTGCAGCCCTTTCATTTGCTTGCACTGAAGCAAAAAGGAATTCGGCATGAGGAATGGCTGCATGGTTAAGATCCCACAGAAAAAGGTAACTGCCACGCAGTAATTCAAATGCAAGCAGTGTAACTGCTTTTTGTATCCAGATCCATACTTGTATAAGGATATAAATTAATAAGCCCTTCTAAATGATTTTAGAAATATTCTCTTTGATCTAGACATATAAAACCTCTGAATACTTAGAATCACTAGATTTCACGTGGCCCACATAGTCATAATTATTTGCACTTACATGGCAAATATTAGAAATACATTTGCCTGCAGTTGAACAGGTAATTACACTGCCTATTATTCAGCTGAGCAAAGATCAAGCACTCTATATCTTGCAGGTATTGGATCTTATTCTAACCCTTTACTTTAGAAAGGGGAAATAACCATCTAATTATATTACCAGTGCACAGTACTTAGTTTAAAAAAAGACAACCTATACTAGGCAACTAGATTTTTTCCTAAGATGACTTTTTATGAGATACTCTAAAAGCGTTCTCTTATGACTGAAGATTGTCTATTTCACTGTACTCGCATAGTAAAAATAGTTAAAATCTAATTACAAAGCTGCTACATGGTTATTTTGTGGTCTGTAAAATAAAATGGTATCCAGAATTTTATCTGAACAAAATACAGCAGACAGTATAAAAATATTTCCCAATTGGAGATTGAAACATTAATGCTGGATTTTTTTTTTTTGTATAAAAAAAATGTAATAATGGTAGACATTTATCTGCTTGCTAGCCAAAAATATACCTATGACTTTGAGGAGCTGTTCCAGACTCACTTTCAGTGAGCTTGTGCTTTTGACCCTAGCAATAATAAATGCACATGTGGAACAAAGTTTCCGGAAAACCTGAACTACATCTTATTTCTGACAATAAGACTAATTTCTGACACTGGCTATGGATTTCCACTTATTTGCTTTGTTTCAGGCAACTACAGCAGAGGAATTCCAGAAGCACCACTTCCGCTTTGAATGATGTTTATTCAGTGCAACATCTTCCTTTTCTCTTTCTTTTTTAACTCGCTGGTAGTGATCTTCTTCCTTTAAATACCACACAGGCGGCCAGCGATGCCTCTCAAAATATTCTTGATTATCTGATTAAAAAGAAACAATCAAAAAGTCCCCAAACAAGCCAATAAAATATGCAAATCCCAGAAATGTCTAGAAAAAGCTATGCTGCTAATCATTTATCCAGTCCACCTCATATGCCTTACAGGGTGAAAAGACTATGAAAGCAGTTGCACTCAAGATGCCTTAGTCCACCAAAGAGTGTAAAAAGGCAAGCCTTTTATAGAGGGTATTTTTCATTGTGGAGCCTGAAAATAGCTCTGTTCCTTTTAGCATCACTGAAATAGGTATCGAACATAATGCTTGCCCAGGAATCAGGCTAATGATTATGACCTTTCTTTACAGATAAGAAGAATTTATGAATGCTACTCATGATAGTGCAGAGGTTGAGGCTTATGGCTTAGCTATCGGAGTTTATCTTTGTCTTCATGTTTAATTAGCTGGGTGGGGAAAAAGAAGGGGAAACCTCATGAAAACTGGGGAGGAAAGTTGCCCATACCTGAAGATTTAGCTTTGATTTCCTTGCGGAATTTGGAGCAAACGCTGTTGTAATTGGTGCAGATGTAGTGCAAGCACCAAGCTGCCAGCTGGTTAGCATTGTGAAACTGTAAAGAAAAACAAAGAGCTTATTCCATTTCCTGAGGTTATAATTCATTTTCCAGCCCCAATTAACAACTAAAGCTAGAATGTTCCCCAGCAGATTGCATCTGGCAGCACTCCCCCAAGCATACAGGGGAGATTTTGAGGCTGAAGTGGCCTCTAGATGCCCTAGACGTTGTCACACAATTCTGCTGGAAGAACCAGTGGTGCAGAAGGCTTATGAACAGGTGCTTAGCATGCACAGTATCTGGCAAACTGCATTCAGTCTCACACAGGATCTGAACCCAAGGCACGCTGGACCTGAATTTTCTGGTATGATTGTACTCGTCATATATTTCTATCGGTTACTGCAAACCGTGCTCTGAAGTAACTCCCTGGAAAACTACGCTCATTGACAGAATTCAAGCATTACTGAAAGCTCATAAAAATACAAAATCTTGTACAAGCTTGCCATGGTTGTAAGGAAGCATAGCTGTCATGCAAGTCAGATTGTATAGCATGTGTATGTATTTTGGCATTCTGACTGTCTACCATGATCTTCTCAGGTTATAAACACATAATTTTGATGTAGGTACTGGGCACAGAGGATATCCTAACAGTAGTTAAACATATTACTTCTGTCTTCAACCAGGAGAAAGAAAAAGAAAAAACACCCTTCATAAAATTGAAATTAAGTGAAGCGAGCTGCCTTTTCTTGTAAGGGGTTCAGTCCTGGTTTTGTAATAGCACTATATAGGTATTGCAAGAGAGGCACTTGAAAGCAGCTGCAGGAAATCTGGCATGGTGGCCAGCTTATGCTGTATTTCAGTGCCACTTAAACCCCAGACTTCAAGTCAAGCTGCAGTCAGACTCATCATTAGTGTGAAATCAAGAATAATAAAATTTTAAAAATATTTTAGCTTGTACTACTGTATCTGGGAAACTGCTGTACCACTCCTTTTGGAAAACAGAGGTATGCAGTTTAACTGTGAGCTGGGGGCTCTCTCTTTTCATGGTTTCTGGGCCTCAAGAAATATTGAAACGTGTTTGAACATAAAGTAGTAGGATCAGCACTCACTCTGAACTATCAGATGACTGGCTCTGAGTAGCCAGTCTAAGTCTAAGAATACAAAAAAATGTTGCCTTTGATATACAGGTCTGAATATATCTACAAGAACTGAATTGCAAGGAACCCAAGAATCAGTCACCATTACAAAGCTGAACTGCTTTATTACATCGCATTTCATGTTACTGAAGCATGGCCATGAGAACGCGGAGCTTGGAAGCTCCGTAATCAAGAAAAACTAAAATACATATTTGAAAGACAACTTCTTCGAGATTACTCAAATAGATGTTTTATCTTTGAACTAATGGAAAAACCTTCTTTAAAACAGAAGATAAAACGAAGCTTTATTGTCAGCCATTCTCAGAACTGCAGACTTTGAGCCACTTAGAAGCAACGCTCAGAACCAGTAAGGTGCTCAAAGCAAGGCCTGCAGTTGGCCAGAATATCTTTAAAAAACAGTGCACACTGACCTGTGCCAGTTCCAAATAGGACAGTACTTCTCCATCTATTGCAATGCCGCTCATGGAAGCTTTTGTCAGCTCTTGTACTGCATGCTGTTCTGTTAGAAGAGAAAACTCATCACTCACATGGGAAATGGTCGCATTTCAAGGTCAGATCCTCCACAAATAACAAAGAACCAAGAACACATGTTCTCCCTGCTCCTAGCGTTAACTCTAGCATTATGCAAGTGGCACATTCATCCAGATATCCTAAGCAACTTCAGATTTGGGTAAGGTATAATTCTGGCCTTTAGAGCTGGGGCTGGAGATTCTTGCATTACAGGTATAAACTGTCTTGCTGCAGTGGAGCACAGTCCATATGAGGATTTGCCCCTTTGCCTCAACCCAAACTACCTATCCCTGGTTTCACACACAATTTTTAACTCTTTATTACAGAAAGTGAGCCTGCAATTAATAACCGCTTACAGAAGGACAAAGTTCAGCAGCCACTAGTCTCTTTCTGGCAGAACGGATGGATGCAATATTCAATATAAATTAGAAATATGGATCAGCTGTCTCTTTCGGGTAATACAAAAACAATAGCCAAGTTTTTAGGCAACAATGCACTTGCCACTGCATTGTGGATTTATTAATGAGTATACGCACAGCACTGATATAGAAAAGTTCAATTCAGGCCTGCTTCAGATTCTCAGATTAGTCATTCCTAGGGATCCAGATGAAGGCTGACCTGCTCCCCCAAAAGTCACTTCAGTTCAAGAGTCTTCTTAACCCTTTCCTAGAATCTTAGAGGTTTGAGTGTTTTTTGGGAAATGTTGTCAGCTGATTTGATTCTACTGGGTTCAGCTGTTGGCAATCACCTTTGGACTCAAAGTTATTTCATCAAGAGTTAAATGGAATTAAATATTCTTAATACTATATGTAAGTTTGTGCTGCAACTACTTAAAAAAATAACTAAGGCTTCAGTTAAAATCTGCATATAAAAATCAGGTGATAAAGATTTGGTCTGTCAGAACCAGTGAAGACAAGGTACACAGTCCTGATGCACAACTGAAGGAGTGCTAGGATTTGGTATGTGATTAAATCTTGCCTAAATGTTGTCCTGTAAATATGTGTAGCTTTGCTTCATCTGTCTCTGAGTTTTGGCCTTGGCCAGGTCCTCAGAACAATATCAAGTTACATACATAGAGAGAAATAAATAAACAAAAAAAACCCCCAAATCCCAGAGGTCTGGGGTGTACATGGATTTAGTTTTAAAACTAAGTAGCATCCTACCCTGTAATTTTTCCTCTAAATATGTGATTGAACAGTTCTTTTTCCTGAAATGAAGGTTGAATCCCCATCTATATACCAAAATATCCAATTACCATCTAGGCAGTGAAAAGGGATCCAGACAGCATTTCTAAAACACATGATGATCTAGATCAGTTTTGAATTGGCTCAGATACTCTCTTCGAATAGAAATGTATAATGCAGCACTTCATTCATTACATAATGGAAAGCCTGGCGTCCATCCTGTTTTCGGGTAAATTAACAACAATAGAATGGATATTACAAACCACAGACATTATATCAACGCTAAAGAGAAGGTTTACTCTTTCTGTTTTTAAAGTACAGAATACTTCAATGTTCTGAGCTGGTTTAGCACAAAACTAAAAAAGCAAGAGAAAGGCAAACACATTTTTCTAAGTGAAAATATCAATTTGTATTAAAATATCCCTCTCAGAAAAAAGGAAATATTTATTTTCTCTGACACTTGAGAAAATCCTGTGCAATCCAAAACCATTAAAACATGTTTCAGCCATTGCAGAAGACATTGGACAAGGCCACAAGTTCTTACCTGCTAGCGCGACCAGGTGAGGAAGGCAAAACCTATTTGCCAATGCAATTAACTCAAGTGTGTCCAGTTCCTGACTGGAGGAGAGTTGTTTGGTATACAAGTAATCTAAAACCGCTTGCATAGAAGTCTTGTTTATGTTGGGAAGAACTACCTGGAAAAGATATTTAAGAAAAGAGTCTCTAATAATTAAGGAATTTTCACACAGAGGCCAAACTTCACTTCTGCCATGTTGCTGGACTGTCTAATTTTCTCTTCAAGTCAATTCAGAAATGCAGGGAAAACATTTTTAAAAAAGAAATTTCTCATTAAAGTTCAAGAAGGTGCCAACAGGTAAGCATACCTCCAGAGTCAGATCCTTTACCAGTTTACATACAAGCAACTCTACCAAATTACTGGAATTAGATCCACATCAAACAGTGAATCTGTTCAATGCTTTCTAGCCTGTGAATGAACAGTCTTGTGGAATACATAAAGCCACTGAGCACTTCCCATGCCAAACCTCCCTAGACTTCTTGAGGAATGCAATCTATCTGCTCCTGGCAAGCGATATTCTGGGGATTCTGAGAATAACAGAAACCAAAGGGTAGCAAAAACCCCACCCCTCTCAGTCTGTTTATAAATAACCCAATTATCCAAGTAAATGATTGTTGGGAAGGGGCTGAGAACTGAAGAAATGAGGCAAAGAAAATGTAAACTGCTTCTGCCACAGACATGTAATTAAGTGTAACCACTGTGTAATGAAACTAGTAAGACTAGGACAAAAGCTATCTAATTTCTCGCCAGCATAACCCTAACTCCACTTCATTGCAAGGAAGCCTAAAAAAAGAGGAAGGAGGATTAGAAAGCCTCACTGCATCTCAACTACAGTTTGCACACACGTCACTCCTCCAAAGAACAAGGTAAAACTGATTCTTGTGGGGCTCAGGGTTGCGGCAGCTAAGCCTGCTTCCAATACCCAAGCTAGTCAATCCCGTTAATCAGCAGTTTGTAACGTGCATCTTCATAACACAAGAGATGCTGGCACTGAAGAATGCACAGTTGTATTCTGAAGAACTTGCAGTAAAAAAAAAATGGCAGAGAAAAAAAACAATAATAAAATTATGCTGAGGAATTAAATGTACATGCAACTTAATCTGCCTGCTTGGAAGCAGTCAGCACATACTTCCTGCTCGAAGGGAAGTCATGTAGCTGGTTGTTAACCTTTGAGGGCTTGTGAGTTTTTCTTTCAGCTCTGCCTGGATGGGTGGGATTCAAACCCAGAGCTGTTAGTGCTAAAGCATGAATGTCTTACGCATATCAGCCACTGTAGCAAGCATCTCAGTTCTCCAAGAAGAGGTAGTTGTGAAACTCATTCATTATTAATATATTTTTGTAAGTGCAGAGAACAGTAAATGAGTTAACAAAATGTTGTGTCCCAATTACAGAAAAAATAATAAGTGGATGGTTTTATTTTTTGTAAAGCAGTAAAAGGAAACTATTCAATTCATATCTACCTATATTTTATAACTTCCAAAAGCATTACTGAATACTTTAAACTCTACAAAATAGAAGCTAAATATTTTAAATTGGAAAGATGAGCTAAGACTGTTAAGTTAATCATTAAAAACAGGCTGGTAGAAAATAAATGTATATTCTTCATTGCCAAATGTAGCTTACTAGAATCAAACTATGTATTTTTAATGAACCACTTGTCAAGCATGCCTCTGGGAAAGGAGTTATGTTTACAGCTGTATTAGAAGAAGCAGGAAAAATCTAAGTAGAACACAATCTTCCAGAATATTAAACACAAAAGCCCTGAACTCTTCATATAAACAAGACCTGTATGTATGGAAAAGAACAAGAAAAATCAAAACCTGGGGATGGATAAGACACAAGAAAAAAAATATTAGCAGTGTGTTTAGAATTTGAACACCAAACAATGAAGGCACCTGGAAATACAAGGCTTCTGCTGCAAAATCTTAATTCAAAGCACTGAGATCTTTTATACTGTACTTTTTACCTGCTTTACTCAAGAGGACAAGCTGATGAACTAGAGTCTGAGCTTAGTTTCTACTGAAGTACTGTGAAGCCAGCCCCCTTTTCTAGTTTAACACTCCATGTTCTTTAACCTTTTTTCCCTTTAATTCCTTCCCCAATGCCCCTGCTCCAAATATTCTTTGTAATGCTTCTGATAGTATATATATATATTCACATAACTTTAAAACTTATTTTAAAGAAATTCACATATCCATATTTTTCCCCCCCATATTAAATACTTTAAAGGATTTTAGGTTTAAACACATGCTCCAACATTGGAGGAAGTCTCATGCCTTGCAGAAAATATGTTATCCTCCTAGATGTCTAACTTAATGCCTTAAGAAGAAAAGCAACTCAGGTCTGCGAGGGAATAATAAAGAATGATTCCAGGGATTATCATGACCCTTCAAATAGATAGAAAATGATGCTTCCATCACCTAAATCCATCAGACGTTATAAAGAAAATGGACAAAAATGGACAAATACCTCACTGTTTGAGCTTTCAATAAATGATCCTCCAAACATAGCAGACATCCATTCACAGCTACAGATCAGCAGTGGCTTGTGGGCATTTATGGTTCCATCATCCAATTTAAATGTCACATCTGCCATGGGAACAAAGAAACAGGCATGCTGCAAGTCTGTGTTTATGCATCCCAAGAATGTATCTTTCATTTGGCTTGTTAACCAAAGACTTCTTTCACTTCCCACAGCCCCCACCCCAAAGATAACTCCAGCATTTTATATAGTTAAATACAAAGCCTCACTTAAAAGGGTGATATTGGATGTTCAATGCTTTGGAAAATTCAGTCACTTATTTAAAACCTTGAGAATTAAATTAAATTTTGAGAAATTAAACTGCAGAATCCCAGTGGATGTTCAATGCTTTGGAAAATTCAGTCACTTTTTTAAAACCTTGTGTATAAATTTTGAGAAATTAAACTGCAGAATCCCACGTTGGAACAGTTGGCCCTGAGTAATACTATAATTTTGGGTTTATCCCTCCTCTCAGAACAATGTCACAGTTTTTGAAGTCCGTGAAGCGACAGTAACATGAATGAAAAAAGAACTACTGCTTCTCATCTGAAAGCACATATTTACTTACCAGAAAATGTCCCTTTGCAAAGGCACTCTTTTATCCGATTAGCTTTCCTGACATGAAATGCTTTAGTAATCTCTTGATTCATGAAGGCTTCTTTATTCATAATATTCTCCACCATCATTCGCAAATCAAATACTTCCAAGATTTCAGCAATCTGCGCCAGTCTCGTGAGATCTTTTTCATTTTCATCCAGTTGCCCTGTGTATAAAAACTGCAAAACAGTTTTAAAAGGTCCAGCCTGCACAGACGAATCCATTTTTACCACAGTTACGGGACACGTCCTATTTGAGACAGGATTCACTTGCATTTCCTTATGCACACTAACAAACCCCTTACCCCAGGATGACAGAGATCTTGCTGCAGAATTTGTTTCACCAAGTTCGGGTTCTAACATGTTTAAAAAGTCAGTACTTTCTGGTGGGGGAATTTTAACATCAGCAGATTTCAAGGATGTCTCATCACTGTCACCATTTGTCTCAAGGTGACTTGTCTGAACATCTTTACTTGTATTTTCTTTATTACACTGTGTTTCATCCAAATCTGGACTTTCCTCACATTCCATTAAGAAAAGGTCGTAAAACTTTGAAGAGGAGGTAGCTAGGTAAATCTTGTGAGCAAAAATGTAGTCCTGCTCCTGGAGAACAAACATAACATCTGCACACAGTGGGCTGTCCAATAAATATCCAGCTTCATTCATGCTCGGTATGGGACACTCGGGAATTTTGATAACTGGAGGAGGGGCTTTTGGAGGTAGGAATGGAGCCTGAAGCAAAGGTTTTTGGACCTTCTTCAAATGAGATTTCCAGAACTGCAGGTGTCTTCTGGAGATCAGGGCAGCTCTAATTGCATTGTCAAACACATCTTTAATCCCAAACTGGTCAAATACACTGGTTTCATAGTACGGTATCCCAAGTTCCTTGGCAACCTCTCTGCCTCTTTCTGGTGGCAAAATGTCTCCTCTTTTTATTGGCCTAGGGTTAAACAAAAAATAAACCTTCTCACACACTATGATCATCACAAAGTTACTCCAGAAAGCATGGAATTTTAAAAAATGTCTCAGCACCAATTCTGACATAAATATCATTCAAATGAAACAAAATATAAAATTAAGCACCCACAAAGCCCTTTGGAATTCTACAACCATGACTCCAGAGAGTTTTAGAATAGCACACACTTGTAATTTTGTTTAAGTTTGGTGGTGTCTTTGCAATGTTACTAAAAATATGTAGAAATCATTTGCACAAAATGGAGCAAGGCTTCTCTCTGTTAAATGGAAATCTACATTAAAAAAATTGATAGGATGCTTGAGAACTTTTATTATTTTAAAAACCTCCTAACATCCCTTTCTACTCAGATATTCTGTCAGGATATTTCTTTGTATCCATGATTTAAACTCAAATGGAAATTCTCATGACATGAGACATGCCACAATTATAGCTGAATATGAAATGAGAAATATTTCTTAAGCTTATGCTTTTTAAAGAAAATCATAGTAGTCTATGACAAAAGTGTAGCTGAACACACACTTGAAGAGAGAGGCCTGTTTTGGCTGTAGGAGCATTATGTGGGAACTCATGAATTTCCAGAGCAGCTCTAATACACGACGTAGGGTAAACAAAGCAGAAAAAAGCCTAGGCTAGGATCCATTTTCCCAACAAAAAAAATCATCTCACCAGAAGACATGACCCAACAGTGTGTCCTCTGAGCGTAAGATATTGGGCAGACACAAGCTGGCACAGACTTAACACACTCCAGACAACAGCTTGCTTTAGTTGCCAGCTAATAATCAGTTCAGCTGGCAGAAGTCTGTGCTAGACATGCAGAGTACCAATTCAAACTTTATTAATCGTGAAATCAGAAAGGAGGATTAGGGCCAAAGAAGAATTTTAAGTTTTGAATAAACATTTCTTTTTAAAGAGTCAACCAAAAAGCCCACCCCACCCACACAATAAAGAAATGTTTAACAAACAAACCTGTGAAAATCATATTGCTGAGTCAAGAATTTGAATGCAAAGCAATGCAATGCAAAGTTTTCTAAGAGCCCATGAAATATTAATTCATCCCTTTATGGGAATTTGTTACAATCCAGTTTTTAATTACATGATCATGGATATTATTTCCATTAATCTGGTCTCATTCAAATTCACATAAAAGGAGGAAATTAGAAGTGAGCAGGTAACTGTGGGACTGTATTGCCCAAACATGTGAATGCTTGTCTTCTGAATGTGGGGAAAAACAAAGCTTCTCCAGAATGGCCCCAAACTCTCTTTTAATCTCAAAACTTTAAAAACTTTCATTTGCAACCACTTTATTTTCTGACATGATCTATGATTACATGTACCAAAAAAAAAAAAAGAGAATTAAGAAAACTTGAGTAGAATCTGTCAGTTTAAAACAGTACCTGACAGTAGTGACAGGGTAGGACATGATAGACATGTTCAGATGGAGAGAGACATATATGAAAACCTCCAGGACCAGTATTATCTCTATATTACCATAGTGCTCAGGCACTCAAACAAGTTTAGATGACCAATGTGCAAAAATATCATGGGAAACATATAGTAACTGTGTGTATTAAAGAACTAACCAACACAGGCAGCAGAATTAAAAAGAAGAAAGCACATAATTATCATTTTACAAAAAAAGGAAACTAGGCTCTATCATTTCTCTTTTGAAAGTATTGTACCTGATTACCAAGGTGATTTTTTAAAATTCTTATTTTTGTTTAAACTTTACCTTGCCAAAGGCCGTCTGGCTCTGTTAACAGCCTCAAGGTCTGCATAGCGGAGATCTAGTTGGCAGCCCACCAGAATGACAGGGGTGCGAGGACAGAAGTGCTTGATTTCTTGATACCACATCGTTTTCACATGATTCAGGGAATTAGGATTAGCAATTGAAAAGCACAGAACAACTACATCAGACCTAGAAAGGCAACAAGAAAATATCCAATTAAAATCCAACAAACATGCTTTCCGCTGCAGCTTCACCTATTTTCATCGCTCCAGCTTAAAGCTACTCCAATCTACACTTTGAAAAATGCGCTGACGCTCTGATGTCAGAATACATGTTGTTCGTGCAGAGGTTTGATAGAAACTACACATTTCACCATGAAAACAGGGGAACACAAAGCCACATACCTAGGAAGCACTGCCCCTCTATGCCAAGGGATGATCCCTGCACATATGAACAGAGCACTAAGAAGAGAGGTAGGGCTTGCCATTCTCTACTTTTACACTACAGTTATTCACAGGCTGTCATTGCTTAAGAAATAATTCTGCTGACTGGACACCTAAATTGCAATTCAAAGATCACGGGTGCTTAGGAATTCGAAAGGAGTTATGCAAAGCTTCAGAACAGCCACACAGGCAGACAGAGATCACTTCTGAAGTTGTCATGGAGAAATACCTTTACTGCACCGTTCCAGATACTGAAGTGGTCTCCTTTGCAATGCACTTTGCACAGCAATTCTCTAACCTCTTTAATAAATAACCTGTTAGAAAGGCAAACCACTGCAGAATGACCACTTCTACAATATAAGCAAAAATAAACATTACGATGAAAATAAGGTCAATAAAGTGTAGAATAGGACAGTGGCTTAAATCAGAGTAAGCATGACAGTATTTGCAGGTTTTAAAAAAACAACAAGTACTTCACTAAATAAACTTGCTTTATAAATTATAAGTCTGAGGATTAAGGTTGATGGTTCATCCACTAAACCACCTCCTAACTCTTGTCAGAGCTAGCACCCTAAGGCAGAGAAATGCTTCAATACCTGTCTCAGGGCATTCCTAACTTGGAGCAATTTCATTATTTATAAGTTGGGATGTTGCAAAACAGTTCTCAAGCTCTTGGATCTCCCATGGGAAAAAAAGAAAAGAAGAAAAAAGTTGAATTGAAACTCTTAAGAAAAATTGAGGGGAAGGGACATTTTGAGATGGCAACTTATTGCTACAAAATTGTCAGCAGCATAAGCTCAGCAATAATATGTCTATCTCACATCTATTATTCTTTAATTTAGCACAAATGTGTTGTGTCTGCAGTTTGTGTAATGTATAGAGCTGCAGCAGTGAATCTTAACATTCACCTTTTAAATAATGAAATACCTCCTCAGTACTGCTGCTTTCTACGTTTCACTGAGGGCACAGATATATTCAGCAAGACTGTTTCTAAAGATAGCTGCGTACAGTGCAGGTACTGCTGTGAGCATAAATTTAATGCAAGAGAAATGTTCCTGTTCCAAGTTTGTACCTTATATAAGCGGCAACACATCTGTCATATCTAGAAACAAGGTCTTTTCAAACTAGAAAGTTATCCAGTAAATAGTGAAGTGGTAAGCAGATAATACACCGGTCTTCTGCGTAACTGAAGCAAACACCCTCAAACTTGCTCTATGGAAGGCCATGTAAGAGTAAAACCTAGGCCCCAGCAGGCATTTGTTTAGCTCCCAGAAGGGAGAAATCAATGTACAGCTAAGATAAAAAAAAATGCGTCACGCATATTCTAATTGATGTTTAATTCAAGATCATCAAGTCTGCCGAAGAGGCAAGAGTTGGCTGTCTGGCTGGTCCTAACTATAATTAAGCATCTTAGAGAGACAGACTGTCTTGTGTCCTTCAGAAATTAATACCTAAGCCAAGTAATTGCAGTCACGAGTATCCAACCCTCCTGACTCTACAAACCACAAGACACACATCACATTTCTCAGAAAACCAAAAGGAAACAGAGCTCCAGCAGGAGTTCACAGGCGGATGACGACAACATCTCCCCCACAGCGCTGCTGCTGACCAAAGCTGGGCGGGCCACAGATCTGGGCTCCTGAGAAGAGCCAGTGACAACCTGTTTCCTTGGACAGGACAGGCCCAGAATATCCAGCAGACTGGTCCCAGCACAGCCCTGCACGTGTTACAGCCCTTGCTGAGGGATTCTCACATTTTTGCCATAATGCTGCATGTGGTTCTTGAGCAACTCATCACCTCTGACCTTCCCTGGGCGGCTGTAAAACTGAGTGGGGGGGGGAGGCTCGTTCCTTTACCCACAAACTCACAACGCACATAGTGTTGTGCTAACAGGACACTTCCATCTTACTGCCTGCAGAATGAAGTGAAAAACAGAATAAAGAGGTAAAAAACTATGATTTGCATATTATTTACCCTGTGTTAAAACCTGGACTTCCACATAAAATGAATATCCTGAGAGTTCTGTACTGAACAGGGAGAAATAAATGGCCGTAAACAGGACGGATGGGAAATCATGGGGTAGTGACAGAGTTCACATGATGAACCAGCACCACAGCTGGGTCTGCTAGCTCACAAAATACCTCTACCTGATCAGGATAAATTAAGCTTTCATTCAAGTCGTAAGCATGATTTGCACTATTAGTACAAACTGGAGACAGTAGTATAGGAGGAAGATTAGCTGTCTGCATAGGACTGAACATTTGAGGAAAACTGTCCTTTGGAAACTTTACTTAAAATACCTACAATTCCTTTTAATGTCAAAGGCACTTTTACAACTTGCTAATGCCTCAGTATAAAATTTGGGTTGACATTTCTTCATAAAAGCCAGAAGCTGTCAGATTAAAATAATATGTTAATATTTCCCAAACATTAAAAATTCACCAATGTTATTTTAATGTTCTCAGGGAACATAAGAGCATAGGATTTTTAAAAGAAATATCTAATTTATTGCCATTTTTATGTGGTTTTGGTCACTTGGACAACAAGAAAAGATGAATCAGGTTTACTTCTGCTTTCTTCTGCCTTTCTGCAGCAATATATTCACAATTACAAGCTGCTTTTTTCTAAAAAGAAATTTCATAACCATTCCCCAGTAAGATTCAGGAATGATTCGAGAAACATTTCCATAGACCTGAATACAAAAAAGCGCTTTAGAACTTCTCCAGCACATTCCTCCTAGAGCACCATCCAATTGAGATGGGCAATAGATAAGGCACTGTGTGTATCCCACCTTTGTTAAATACAACATAAGTGTTTGACTAAACTTACTGCATATACTGAGGTTTGATACTGAAGTATCACAAAAAACAAAGATAAGTATTGCAAAGAACTCAAAAAGAAAGGGTAGTTTGGATATCCAACACATTGCCTTGTAGACTCAGTGGTACATGTTGGAAATGCATAACTCATTTATTCTTACATTCTGCTTTTCATAGGTTTATCAGAAGAAATTGTGAGTCACCTACTCTTATTATTTGAAACATCTGAACATACTTAATTATCACAAACCTCATAACTTCTGTGTGACTTGCTCTAGCATGTAATCAACCACCAGTGAGACACTGCATCACCAGCGTAAGAAACCAGGTTTCTTTCTACTCACTGGGGCTCCAAATAGGGGAGAACACAATGTAGATATGTGGAACTTGGCAGGCGAAAAGGGGAACAGATTCTCTCAGCTGTAGGCAAATCAACCACCACTCACATGTTTCTCGCTTTCTGGGTGACCAGACTCTCGCATTGGACTCTCACATTAAAGCGTAAGAGCTGCGTAAGAGTACTTCAAACGCTTCCCCTGGCGTCGCAGAAGTAATTCTTAATGCAAACACACACATCTGAAGTCAGCCCAGCTTAGTCTAAACATATCTATGGCCTTCCTATAGGAGACTCCCATGGGCAAAGAACGAACCTTACCACCATTTTGAGAATCAACACACCTGCCTAACATAGGTATTACCTCAATACATTCAGTGATTTTTTCCCAAACTTGGATAAGAATAATTTTTGATGGAAGCAACTACCCCTTTTTAGACTTCACAGAATGAAAAGAATGACTCTAGACAACCCATCTCTGGCAGGAATCAGCACATGGCATGCTGCATCCTGTGAGCTCCTAGTGTGTGAGTTATGAACTGTATCAGGTATACAGAGAGCAGTCTAAGCCACTGCTGAAAAGCAAGCAGTATAGCACTGACAAAGACAAGACAACTTTAAATAATCAACTTCAGCCTTCAGCAGCAGTCAAGCTACAGGTAACCATCTGGAAGTTACTCTGCAATCACTACAATGAGAAACTCGTGAGGTGGGGAATAAAACCAGTATATTAGCTATGTAACAAGCCTTTCTGATGGAGCTGTTAGAAGCAGCAGAGAAGTTAATGTTTTCTAACTAGAGCTGTTTCGTGTAACAGAACACATCATTGCTTTGGGACTGAGATTTTGAAAGACTCATCTGCTTACACGCTATGTGTGTTCCAGAGTTGGTGTAATGAGCTGCACTGCAGACGTGCTACACACCACATTGCTGATCCATCCCTCAAACCGCTACATATTTTTCATCTTCACTAATCCTCTTATTTTAGCCAGAACTTCAAGGAAACAGCAATATTAAATGATATTGCATATATTCCATGGCAAGTATGTTTAAAAGTGTAATGTTTCATAGCCTGAATCTAGAGTTATAAACTATAGTGATGGCTGCAGATATGCTAACGTGGGTTTATGTCTCATTAAAGAAACAGGGCGCCTTCGGAAACGTAGACACTGCATTACCTAGGAAGAAGTTGTTCCCTCTAGTTTATAATTTACAAGTTACCGGGAAAAATTGCTGCACGCAAGAACTGCTGGTCATGTGTAAGGGGTATCATTTGCCATACAGTTATGGAATAATATTGTTGGGTTTGGAAAGGGGAAGAAGTAAAGCTGTGAGGAACACAGAATGTAAAGAGGAGATGTCTCTGGTCTGGAAATCAATGCAGGGAGTAGGAAAGAAGAAAAGGAGGAAGACTGAACTGTATTGCCATGCTATCTTCTCATTTTTCTAGAAGGCAAGTCAAAAGTACATATTTTGTTTTAAAAAGCTTAAACGAAACCCAAGAGTTAAATCTGACAGAATCAAATTTAAGGATAGACAAATTATATATTGTTTGACAAGAAGTCTGTTGCACACATTTAATCAAATCAAACT